AGGCCAGTCAACCTTGAGGCTTAGTGGTGAAAAATTCTGTGCTTTCACCCCAGCAACTTGGGTTCGATTCCTGGTCAGGGCATGGATCTGGGATTTATCACCGTGTGTGATGTCTGCGTGTTTGGACCCCTTCAGCTCAGGTGAGCCCAAGAGGCAGAGACCAGAACACCTCGGTGTCCTTCCCAGGATCCTTGAAGGCAGTGTCGCTGGTAGGCAGGATGGAGGGCAGGTGAGGGCATGCCAGGCAGATGGGGAGCCTGAGGGATGGGGAGCCAGTGGGCAAAGGCCCGGAGGTGGAAGGGCCCAAGGAGGCTGGAGCAAACACACCAGGGAGAACGACAGAGTGAGGGCACAAGGGCTGGGTACCTAGGAAGCAGCTGAGGTTTCATAGACTTCTAGCAACAAAGCAGAGCTGTGGAGGGCAGAAAGCACAGAGACAGTGACATCAGGGGATGGCAGGGTGAGGTGAGAGGAGAGCTAGGCCCAGCCAAGTGGGCCGGGAGGGGCACAGAGGGGTCCAGGAGCTCCAGGCGGGGCCATGGCGTGCAGCCTGGGGCCAACACAATCTGTTTCCTGAGGGGCTGGAGCTGGCTCTGGCAGTGCCCTGGGGCCACAGATGCCAACAGGCGGCCGGCTTTCCAGCCAGCCTTTTACTGACACGAGCCCTAGCTGAGGAGTAACTAGGATGTTCAGTGCCCAGGGCGAGTTCCAAGAGCTGTGTCACCCTACAACGGCCCGCCCCACCCAGATTTATAGGACCAGTCATGAGAAAGCGGCCCCTCCCCATCTCACGAAGGACTAAACAGGAAGACACACTTCCTGTCAGCAGAGCCCAGGCCCTCCAAGTCCAGGGACCCCCTTTGGAGGCGCAGGGGAAGGTGGGCTCAGATAAAGAACAGGCCAGGGTCATTTCTGCTCTCAGCACTGCGGGGGCTCAGTAGACATCCACTGAGTGAGTGAATGAATGAACGAGCGACAAATGTGAATTCCTGACCTCAGGGAAGCAGGGGTGCAGGGATAGGGCACCCTGAGTCACACGTCAATGCCTCCTCACAGGGGGCACCTCAGACACAGAGGGTGGCTCACCCCTGCGTCCTGGGCCCACAGGGACGTGGGAGTGCCAGGCACCCAGCCCGCTAGAGTGTGACAGAGGGCAGCTCACGCCACCACTTCCCTCAGAATTCCTCTGAGGAGGACACACGGGGAGGGTGTCCTAGAGGATTTGGAGCCATGGGGGGAAAACCATAAAGCAGAATTTCCAGGCCTTTCCTAGCACCCTCGCAGTGCTTCCTGTGACGGAGACGCAGCGTGGTCTGGCACTGGGCTGTTCTGGCGCTGTCGCCACAGCTGGGTTCGAATGTCGCTGTTCCCACTTTCTAGTGGTGTGGTGCTATGGTCCAAACAACTCCCTTGACATCTCTCGTCTCTACACTCCCGGTATGTGGAAGGGTGCTGGGAGACGCAGAGAGCCACTGCCTGCACTGCACTCGGCACAGGCCCAGCACACATGGCAGAGGGTGTGACAAGATCCCTTTTTTATTTTTATTTTTTTGAGACAGTCTCACTCTGTTCCCTGGGCTAGAATGCGGTGGCATCTTCGTAGCTCACAGCAACCTCAAACTCCAGAGCATAAGCGATCCTCCTGCCTGAGCATCCCAGGTAGCTGGAGCTACAGGTGCCTGACACCACGCTTGGCCAATTTTTCTACTTTTTGTGGAGACGGGGTCTCACTCTTGCTCAGGCTGGTCTCAAACTCCTGAGCTCGAGCCATCCTCCCACCTTGAATCTCCCAGAGAGCTAGGATTACTGGCGTGAGCCACTGCGCCCGGCTGAGATCCCTTTTGAATGCTAAAATTCATGGTGAACTCATGAACAATGAATATTCTCCCGAGAACTGCATGGCACTTCTGAAATCATCTCATCTGGCCAAGTCACAGTGTCATGTGGGCACCAGAGGGCCAAGATTTCTCTGGTGTGAACAAACGGGGACCAAAACCCAGCCTCCCTCTTGTCCTACCTGCGCCTCACCTCGCACGTGTGAACCCAGAGGAAAGGCAGGATCCCGGCAGCAACCGCGCTGGGCTGGGCCAGCAGGTCGGAACATGGAAGGCTGAGTTTTGGGAGGGCTGGTGGGGAGTAAGAAGGCTCTGAGTTCCATGACTCACCAGGAGCTGGGCCGGAAGTGCAGGGAATCTGGCTGACTCTCTCAGCAGCAGCAAGTACCTGAAGCCTCCCTCCCTGTCCTTTAGATGGGACTGTCCTTCCCCACTGGTGATTTCCCATCTCGTCACTCCACAGCCAGGAGGGGACCTGATCCCTGGGCTCCCAGGAAACCTCTTTCCAACCTGCACCTCATTCCTCTTCTTGGAAACCTCCAGGGTGCTCCAGGGTTCCCCACAGCCAGGCTGCAAGTCACTTTCCCATTTTTGCCTCCCAGGCACCTGGCCAGTTTGCTCTTTGGCTCCAGTGTCTCCCCAGCCCAGCCCAGGCAGCCTCCACATAATCCGCAGAAGAGCCAGCCAGGTCCCTGGCCCGAAGCCCCCTCCCCCCGCCTCTGGCCCCCACAGTCTCTCCTGCCCCAGCTGCTTCCCCAGCCTTTCACTTACCCGCTCTTAGCCTCTATTTCCTCATCTGCAAAATGGGCCCAACAATACCTACCTCAGTGCATTATCACAGAATGAAGTGAGAAATTGCACACGAAGTGTTTAGCGTGGCTCCGGGCAAGCAGGCACCACCGACCGAATCCCGCCTCCCGCCCTGTCAAATGTTTCATACTTCATTCCCCCACAAGATTTTCTTTGCCCTGAGGATGCATCTTACGCCCTCTCTCCCTTCCCTCCTCCCCTCGTAGTTGGCTCAAGGCTGGGCAAACAGGAATGTTCCACAAAAGTGCAGAAATACCGCAATTAACAAAAAGGACACGGGCCAGTGACAGGCTTTGTGGGCCACTCCGAGTGGGCGGAGAAGTGATGGACCGTGCCAGCGCACACTGAGAAGGCGCTGCCACCTGGCCACTCCCAAGGGGCACTGCAGTGCCCACCGGCTCAGCCCACCCAGCCCCTCCTGGTGGTCAGGAACCCACACACAGCCCGTGCCCAGCGCAGTCTCACCCCCAACCAACCCCACAGCCCACACGCACTCCTGCGGCCATTTGGTTCCTGGTGCTGGTGAGTTTGTCCCATGACCACCTAAGTCGTCAGGTTCAAAGGGATGAGGGCTCTTCACGCAAGGCATTTGGCCCAGAGGCTCTGAACAGGCTTCACAGAGGAGGGCCCAGTGGAAGCTGGCAGGGTGGGGGCCCGAGCAGAGGGGACAGTCCCTGCAAGGAAAGTGCCGGCAGCAAGCTCGTCCTCCTGCTCGACTGCTGCTGTGGAGACCCCCACCTACCCCACCCCACCCAGACCTTGGCTTCCTCCGGATGTGGTCAATGCAATGCCACTGCGGGAGGCACAGCCCCAGGGAGGGCAGGGCGCAGAGGCCAGCAGGCAGAGGGGACACTCCAGGCATCCTCGTTCTCCCTGGTTGGGCCTCTCACCAGGCACTTCAAGTTCCACAGTGGGGGGAAAGGCCGAGTCAGCAAGTCAGCACTCTGGCCACGACTCTCTCCCAGGGCCTGGCTTTAAAATGCACTCTGGGGCTCTTGGAATAGCCATGGTCCTCCACCCCTCCACCCTGCCTGCCTCCTGAGGTCCTTCACAGAGGAGCCAGCCACGGGCAGGAGTGCAGGGAAGCAGGGGGAGTCTGGGACAGCTGGGTAGCTGCAGGGAGTCACCACTTGGTTTGTGTTTGTCCAACATTCAATTCCAGGTGGGTCACGAATTCTTCTGGGGGCTTGACTTGGTGTGAATGTGGGTCACCCTGGCCCCACCTTTCTCATCTGGCAGATGTGTGTCTTGTGCCTACGTCACACCAGGCCAACCCAGCAGGCACTGGCCAGGCTGGAGGCCCCAGACTCTCCAGGGGGCTGTCTGGTCCTTGCAGAAAACTGCAAACAGTGCTCTGACTGTCCCCTCTCACTCACCCCCAACCCCAAATGAAACAAAGCAAGGGCCCAGCGCTGGAGCCACAGTCACCACCCTCCTTGATGACCCCAGCTTTTACCCAAAGCCCCCCAGGAAGCAGATCTTTCCCTTTCACTCTCAGTCCTGGCGAGGGATCTGTCTGTCCCCACACTTCGCTGTCACCCCCTGAATAAGCAGCAGGAAGGGAACGGCACAGTTTTGGAGGTTTTTGTTTGTGTTGTTTTCTGATGGTTCGGTTTTTGCATCTTTAGCAGCTCTTTTGCCGCTCAAGATCCGTCCACTCTGCAGGGCCGCCAGTCTGACCAGGGCTGCCCGCACTACAATCAGACACGCGCGCACGCACGCACACGCACACACACGCGCGCACACGCACGCGGCGCCCGGCCAGTTGCCGTGTCCTGGTGGCACAAACTGCCTCACAGAGCTCCGCTCAGGCGGTGAGGATGCCGCGCGCCACAAGCTGTCCTTGAAGACTTGGTGTGGAAAAGAAAATATAAACACCCCGGGATGCCAGGGAGGGGAGCGAACCCTCACGCGCAGTTCCAAACAATAATACCGCGTCATCCTCGGCGCAGCCTGGAGACCGGCCCGAGACCCCCGGCTGGAGCCTCGGCTTCCCCGGCGCCCCGCGGGTCCCCGGCCGAGGGCGGGCCGCCGCGGGGTGGTCCGGGGCCGGCGCGGGGTCCTCCGAGCCCACCCGCTTCCTCCGAGGCCGCTCGAGCCCCCGCTCCCCTCCCCCGCCGCCTGCCACATCTGGTTCCACTCAGGTCCTCCCCCACCTCCAGGCGCGCTCCTCCTCCCCTCTCCTCCCCCGCTTGCAGAAAAGCGGAGACGATTTTTAAAAACCCAGTCACACACACCACACGCACACACGCTTCAGGAGGAGAGGGGAGGGGAGGGGAGGGAGGGAAGAGTCGGGAGGGGCCCGCCGCCGGCGCTCCCCCCGCCCGGCCCCCGAAGTTGGCCAAGTTGGCAGCGCCTTACCCTGGAGGGCGGCGGCGGCGTCCCCGGGGGCGCCGGGGCGGCCGAGGTGCAGGCCCCCGAGGAGCAGGGCGCAGCGCAGCAGGTGACGAGGCCAGGGCGCTGGGGCCGGCCGGCCGGGCCCCATCCCCGCGGCACAGCGCTCGGCGGACGCGGGGACCGAGGGCGCACGGGCGCGGCGCGCGGTGGCAGCCCCGGCGCTGGGCTGTGATGACCGCCCGCGAGGGGCTCGCGTCCTGCTCCGGGTCGGGACGAAGTGATGCCTCCTGGAGAGGAGGAGGGAGGAGGCAGGCCGGGCGGAGGGAGGGCGGAGGGAGGAGCGCAGAACCCGGGAGGAGGGTTTGAGGGGCAGAGGGGAAGGGAAGCGGGCAGCGTGGGAGGGGAAGGGGCGGAGGCGCGGCCGGCGCTGGGCTGGGGACTGGGCCGGAGAGACAGCGTCTGGAGGGAGGGAAGGGGGTGGCGGGAAAGGAGGATCCGCGAGGTCAAGAGGACCGCAGAGTGCGCGCTTTCTCTCGCTGCAGTTTCCCAATCTCTCCCCACCTCGCCTTCCCTCTCTTGTCTGTCCCAGCCAGGAGCCCCAGACGCTGCGTCACAGCTCCCCGGCTGGCGCGGGCAGGCAAGCAACTGCAAAACTTTCCGCACGCTTCCCGGCGGCGTGGTGGGACCTGGGCTGCGAGGCCGGGTCGGCCGGGGGCGAGGGCTTGTGGCTGACCCAGGTGGCCAGACCCGGGCCACCATCACGCCCCCACCATCCCGCCTTTCTGCCGAGGTCCCTGGCCACTGAGCATCTGCTACCTCCATGCCCAGGGGTACTCGCGGGCTTGTGGGGAAGGGGCGGAGCCCAGTGCTTGGCCACCAAGGCAAAGATTGGGGGAGGGGAAGGCAGGGCCCCTGTTCCGTGTGCGGAACGCAAACAGTTCTTGCACGTCTTGTTTTAGCATTTGCATGACCCCCGTGTCAGTGCCCCTGGCGCAGAAGGAGTGTAACATTTTTGCTAGTTGGAGCTGCATCCAGAAACCTGGGGCAAATCTGTCCACCGGCTGTCCCAGAAGACCGACATCATCACTCCCACCAACTGGACTGCTGGCCGGTAGCAAAGGACCAAATGGAAATTTCATAAAAGAGAAGACAATCCGCTGTTATTCAGTATTATGCAACAGGTCACTGCAGCGCAGAGCGCTGGGTCAGGAGTCAGGATGCTGGGAGTCCAGCCCCACCTCTACTGCTGATTCCCTGAGCGACCTTGGAAAAGCCATTTCTCTGGTCTTAGAGCAGGACTGAGACATTTACTGACCTTAAGTTCAAAGAAAGACTCGTGCTCTTCTACCAAGAGTAATCAAATAAAAACACTATGAATGTAATATAAATTTTATTGTCTCCTGTGCTGTCCACTTTTTTTGGGAAATAATTCATTTTTTTTTCTTTTTTATTGCCCGGGTAAATACTTCCCTATCTCTGCAATGTGGGTATTGGGCCAGAGATGCTCACTTATCTCTTCCCATCTTTGCCAGGCTGAGATTCTTGGTAAATAATCCCAAGGTTGCAGGGTTGCAAAGCAAGCACCCTCTGAAATCCCCTATAGTCCCTGGAAAGAGTCCCACTAGTCACACTTTGGCCCTGAAACATGACTGACAGCCAGGCTGAACAAGTCCGGGGCACTCCATGGGTAGCTTGGGCAGGTCTGACACGGCCAGGTCCCTTTCAGTGACTGCTGCTTCACTGCCCCTCAGGACGTCTTCTTGGTGTGGCATGTCCTGGGATCCCAGTGCTTTGCATGCGCCTGGCTGTGCTGGGGCTGCCTCGAAGATCCTCCTCCAGGCCTCCCCTTTCTCACAGTCCTGTTATCTCCAAGGGACGTGAGGATTTGCCAGCTCCAGCCAAACTGTTCTCTCTCCCTGTCTGAACAGCCAAAACACAGGATACTTCTTCCTCTGGAAAAGGGCTGGAGCCTCGCTTCCCCACCAGCCTGAGTAGGTTTTGGCGTTTCCCTCACTGGCAGGGCAGAAGGCAACTCCCTGACAGCACTAGAGCATGACCTGGTGCAGAGCCCACCGTTTGCCAGCATCCGGTCCGCTGTGGCCCGGCACGCGGTAGGTGCACACTGCTCTCCGCTGCTCTCCGCACCCACCCATTCAGTGAGCCCCAGCTGTAGCCCTGTGCTCGCTGCTGGTGAGACAAAGCCGGGCAAACACAGTTGCCGCCCTAGAAAACTTTCCTTTAGTGGCAAAAATAAACAAATTTTTGCTGTACTCCAGGCAGAGAAGACTCCATTCAAGGGTGAGGAGCACAAAAGTGCGCCGTGCTAGCTGGGACAGACATTTGTTCAAGCCTCCGATGCCCTGTTCTTGTCTCTGTTGAGGTGACACTTCCTGATCCAGCATGACACGGTCACACACTGTATTCTGCTGATAGCCTGAGCCCACGGCTGACGCCGCCAACTGTCTTAGATCTTGACCTGGGGGGCGGAGAGCAGGGCCACATCTGGACAGTTCTCCCTATGGAGAATCCAGCCCGGTCCCCCGCTGCCTAAAGATCCTGTGCAGGCTCAGGGTTGACGGGACGCGGCTACAGTCTGCAGGATGCTGGGTGTTGTGAGAGGGCTGGGGCCTTCTGGGAACCCCTCACAGCACCCAGACCCTCATCTGCTTCCAAAGAAGGGCCAGCGTCCTGTGCCCATGGTGTCCTCACCGTCCCTGATGAAGCTCAGTTGAACAGCTATTTCCTGAGGGCCTACTACGTGCCAGGCAGGCATCAGCGTAGGTGCCAGAGACTCAGCAAGGTCTCCAACTTGGTCCAGGGGTCAGATGCCAAGATGATATCTGCTATAGTGAATTGATACTGAGAAATGGCTCTCTTTCCAGCATTGACCGATGGTCAGACGGCAACAGGCACTGGGGGGTCTGCTGATTTCATCAGAATCAATTTAAGAGAAGGAGCACAGACTTTGGAGCCAGAGATCTGAGTTAGAATCCTGGCTTTGAGACCTGCACAAATTACTTCAGCTGTATTGGAGCTCACAATTCTTGTAAGTGGAACAATTCCTACCTTGTCTTGAGATTTAAATGGATCAACGCAGATATTCAGGGCATGTGGTCCCTCGCTGCTCGCCTTCCTTTGCCATTTGGACATCAGGGTGTCTCCCTTATTCCCTGCCCTTCACCCTATCTGCCTCCCCTCCTCTGCTCCCACCCCTGCACTGCCCATTGGATCTTTCTTCACAGGTCAGTTTGTTTGTTTGCTTTTTAGAGACAGGGTCTCACTCTGTTGTCCAGACTGGAGTGCAGTGGCACAATCATAGCTCACTATAACCTCAGGTTCCTGGGCTCAAGTGATCCTCCCACCCCAGCCTCCCAAGTAGATGGAACTACAGGCACGCACCACCACACCGGATTATAACTTTTACATTTTTTGTAGAGATGGAGTTTCGCTATGTTGCTCAGGCTGGTCTCAAACTCCTAGCCTCAAGTGATCCTCCTACTTTGGACTCCCAAAATGCTGGGACTGTAGGTGTGAGCCACTGTGACCAGCCTTCCCAGGCCAGTTTTGTCGGGATTGCAACATTGGTTGTTTTATTTTGCCTGAGAAGACAATATAACCTCCCCTCATTGTCTGAACATCTCTTTAACAGTGTACACAAATGATAGCCTGAAGTGTAAACTAATCCAATTAGAAGTGACTTGAGGCTCGCTTCAGCTGGCTAATAAATGCAAGTCCATAAACAGCCCAGTAGGGGCAGTGGGATGAGTCCAGGCCTAGGGAATGGAGGTCAGTGGGAGTTCTGGCTTTGCCACTCACTAGCTACATGTCCTCCAGCAAGTCACTTCCCTTCTGAGTCTCAGGTGCCCTTTGAAGTCCAAGTTTTGGTGTCATTACTCCATGTACTTAGGGTTCCTCTCACATGCGCCTTCTCTTCCCTGGTTCTGCCCCTGAGCAGCCTCTCCAGACAGAGGGTGCCGGAGGAGCAGAGCCTCCCTAGCAGGCCAGGCCTACAACAGAAGCTTAAGGAAGGAGACTGCAACCTGGTGGCCAGGTAGAGTAGGAGGCTAAAAACAGGAAAGATTTGGCCAGCAGTTACCTGAGGCGACATGGGAAGGGGGTGTGACCCCAAAGAGACGTGTAGGACTTGTCCCACCCTGTACCCTCTCCAAGCCAGGAGGGAGGTCTACCCAAGCACCGGGCTGGCCTGAGTGGATCCACCCTCTCTCCTTCCTGGCTGCTGTATCTCAAAGCCCCAGGCCTCCACTCAGGCAACCTACACATCTCCAAGTCGCTGCACCCTCACTGCAGCACTGGGGCCCACAGAAGGGACTGGGCTAAAGAGGGGAGGAAGAAGGCAGGTTTAGTATTCAGACAAACCCAAATTTCAAGGTTTGCCTTCCAGGTTACGCAAGCTCGGGAAAGTCAGTTAAACGTAAAAGAACTATTTCTCCTGCATCCACTTTACTGGGGAATTTTATGGCTGATCTGTTCTCTTGACTGGTGCAGCCCATCACGGCCACAGATATAACCTGAGGTAGGTCCTGCCCACTTTCCCTAGGTTCTGCCACTTTTCCCATCTGTGGAGAACACCTAGAAGGGCTCTCCTGCCCTAGGAAAGCCTCTGAGTCTGCACCCACTCACTTTTAGCCCAAGGCCTATATCAGAACACTGTTCCTCTCAAGGGACTACAACCCCAAGCCTTTTCTCTCTGCAAGGATAAGAGATAATTACATCCCCCTCCAACATGCAGGAAGTGCAGGCTTCCTCTCCTTGAGTCTAGAGTCTGGACAGCCACTCCCACTTGGAGGAACCCCCACAGTAATGTGAGCCAGCCAGCAGGGCGCTGCAGGCAGAAGGACTACTGTCTCTCACACACTCACTGGCTCCTGTTTCCCCTTGGGAGGCTCAAACGGATCAGGAGCAAGCTGGCTAATGGGTGTTCAGAGAGGGGCAGAGGCTGGCCTGAGGCACCACAGTAAGGAAAAGAGGGAAGCCCTGAGCTGAGCTGAAGAAGAACCAGTTGTGGTTGAGTGGGGTGTAGTCCCCAGAACTTTCTACTGCCCTACCCAGCCAGTGCATGGGAGAGGAAGTGAGGAAAGGGACGTCACATCACCCTGTCTGCTCTACAAGGGCCTCTCGCCCCCTCCTCCCCCTTACAAGAATTGTGAGCTCCAAGACAGCTGAAGTAATTTGTGCAGGTCTCAAAGCCAGGATTCTAACTCAGGTCTCTGGCTCCAAAGTCTGTGCTCCTTTTGTTAAATTGATTCTGATGAAATCAGCAGACCCCCAGTGCCTGTTGCCATCTGACCATCGGTCAATGCTGGAAAGAGAGCCATTTCTCAGTATCGATTCACTACAGCGGATACCATCTTGGCATCTGACCCCTGGACCAAGTTGGAGACCTTGCTGAGTCTCTGGCACCTACGCTGATGCCTGCCCCCCCCCCCCCGACTGAGAGCTGCAGTGCCTCTGAGCCTGTCCCTGCACTAAGGATGGGGCTGAATCAGGAGTCCAGGTCTTCTCCAGGGACATGGCTCTGGCTGGGCTGGCAGCTTCTGCATCCCCCTCCCTCTTCACGATGTCATCTGGGCTGCTCCTGACCCTTGACTGCATCTCCACTGCTCAGGCAGGACAGGCAGGGGAGGTTCCTCTAGTCTCAGTTCTTGAACCTCCAAAGCAAGGCTGGGCCCAGTCCCTGCCAACAGCTGTCTGTGGCTCTCACTGACCTTGGCCAGAGGAAGGCCAGGCTTTGCAGACACAGAACCTGATGCAGAACTTCCCCATATCCATCCCTCCCTAGGCCTCTGGTGGAATAGAGCCTGGATGAAAACAGGAATAGAGCCTGGCCAGCCCACCACCCCCAACACACGAGCCCACCTTCCACAGCCTCCCAGTGTTCTCTAGCATTTAAAAAATGAAATATAAAAGTTGTCCCTAAAAAAAAAAATGAAATAAAACAGTAAATATCATGATGCATTGCACATGAGTTAAGTGCTATGCTGTGGAATATGTATGGGGTGGAGACGTTAAGTGTATTAAACAAATCTGAAAAATATGGCTATTGAGAACCTGGCATGAGCCGCCCAGGCTCCCGGCCACCCATGCCCAGCTCTGGCCTGCTCACCCCGACTGAGGCTCTGCACCTGACACGCTGCCCCCGTGCTCCTCCTCGGCCACCTGTCTGAACCCACTTCCCCTTCACAGGCACCACCCCAGCAGGCCACACTACTTGTCATTCCTTCAACCAGGCCCTGGGCTCCCCAGGGCCAGCTCACACTGCAACAACACAGTAAAGTGGGTAAAATAACGGAGAGACGTACAAGGTGCTGTGAGAACCCAAAGGAAGACAGGATGGAGGTGACTCAAGAGCTGAGTTTTCCAAGATGGTCAGATG